GCCAGGGAGCTACAACATCAACTCATTGAGATGTTGAAGGGTGCTGGCATGAATCTGCGCAAGTGGTCCAGTAATGACCCGGAGCTACTTAAAGATCTTTCCTCAGATCAGCTCAATAGCCCATTCGACTTTAAGTGCTCAGAATCGAAGAAAACGCTTGGACTCAGGTGGAATCCATCAACGGATACCTTTAGCTTCCAAAATCCGGTCCAGTGTCGTAATCAATGCGTCACGAAGAGGCAGTTGCTATCTGAAATATCGAAACTTTTTGACCCATTGGGTTGGCTGTCTCCACTATCAATAAGAGCGAAACTTCTATTCCAAAACGCATGGTCATTAAAATTATCTTGGGATGAAAATGTTCCACAATCAATTCAAGATGATTGGATTCATCTCAGGAGTGATCTCAATCTCATTGACCAATTCATTATACCGCGATACATTGGTAATACAAACCAATTGTATCAAATACATGCATTTTGTGACGCTTCCGATAAGGCATATGCTTGTGCAGTATATGTCGTAAGTAAAGATCATAAGGGCGAGTGCATATCGAGACTCGCTGTCGCAAAAACAAAATTAGCGCCTCTGGCTAAAAAGGTGTCACTGCCAAGGCTCGAACTCTGTGGTGCGTTACTTCTTGCTCAACTTATCAAGAAGGTTATGGAGTCATTATCAAATGAAAACGTGGAAATTTATGCCTGGACTGACTCCATGATAGTCCTAGGATGGATCCAAGGAGACGTCCATAGGTGGAAACAATTCGTGGCTAATAGAATTATCACAATCACCAATATCGTTCCATCATCATGTTGGCATCACGTACGGTCAGAGGATAACGCGGCAGATTGTGCCACTCGGGGTCTCACGTCACAGAAGCTACTTAACCATCCATTATGGTGGCAGGGTCCAAAATGGATAATTCATTTCGATCGTAATACATTACCTGTCACTTCTTATCAATCGCCGAATATTGAGATCAAAAAACACTGTGTGAACACCGCCTTATATAAAAATAACATTTCAGTTATACAAGAGCTATTGTGCAATTACAGTTCATTAACTCGTATTGTAAAAATAGTCGCTTGGATATCACGTTTCATTAAACGATCGCGAGGTAAACACACAGGTGGGACGGAATTTTTGACGTCAGCAGAGTTGCACAATGCATTACATTTAATCATACAGAATTATCAATTATACGAATTTCATGAAGACATTCAGTTTATCAATCAAAAGGGATACGTGCACCCTAAAAGTAAAATATCATGTCTCAATCCTTTTCTGGATGAGGACAGTATCCTTAGAGTGGGAGGACGACTCAAAAACGCATGTATCAAGGACTCATCAAAGCACCCTATCATATTATCTAGCCACAGTCGTCTCACCGACTTAATCATCCATCAGGCTCACATGACAACATTGCATGGGGGCCCGCGTCTGACACTTGCATATATCAGAGATAAATATTGGATCATAAGCGGAATTCGTACTGTCAAGAGAAGGTTGAGATCCTGCGTTAAGTGTCAGCGCTTCAATCAATCAAAGTATAATCAAATCATGGCTGATCTCCCACAGCCTCGAGTCACCCCGTCACGTCCATTTACCCACACCGGTGTCGATTTTACGGGACACGTAGAGTTAAAAGCCAATAAGGGACGTGGAATCAAAACGGTTAAGGGGTATATAGCAGTATTCGTTTGCTTGTCCACCAAAGCTGTTCATCTGGAACTTGTTTCCGATCTGAGTACTCCAGCATTCTTAGCAGCCTTCCGAAGATTTTCAGCTCGTCGTGGTGCACCTAGTCATATGTATAGTGACAATGGAAGAAATTTCGTAGGCGCCAATCGTATCATTAAGAAGGAGTATCAAGAAATCTTAGCCAATATCAACACCGATCTATTTGATAACATCAGTCACATGAACGTAAGCTGGCATTTCAATGCTCCAGCGTGGCCAAGCGCAGGTGGTCTTTGGGAGGCAGCAGTCAAAAGCCTTAAATATCATTTAAAGCGGATCATTGGAGATCAAAAACTCACGTACGAGGAGTTTACTACTCTACTTTACCAAATAGAGGCGTGTCTCAACTCTAGACCACTTTGTCAACTGACTGAAAGCCCTGACGATGACTTTCTTTCGCCAGGACACTTTTTAGTTGGTGGCCCAATTCTATCCAGGCCACAGACAGATCCAGATCACATCAATCTCTCGACGCGATGGCAACTCGTTCAATCTATGAATAAACAGCTTTGGAAGCGGTGGTCAAGCGAATATCTTCAACAATTGCAGGCTAGATCAAAATGGCGTAAACCAAATAGAAATTTCAAAATTGGTGACGTAGTCCTTATCAAGGAAGAAAATCTACCACCTGGCAAGTGGGCATTAGGACGCATTCAAGATGTACATCCAGGAAAGGACAACTATGTTAGAGTGGTCAGTCTAAAAACAAAAGGTGATAACATTATCAAACGTCCTGTCAACAAACTCGTGTTATTACCTACCAACGAGGACACGGCACAAGATCAAGCTATCGATCAAGGAAATTCTTCCAACCCATCACCGCCATCATCATGTCAACAAAAAAAGAGTGAGCGTACTCAACGTTCTCGTAGAGGAATATCATTCAAGAGCCTATTCATTCATTCATTATTATTCATTTTCATGTTGCTATCCCCTGTTCACGCACAAAGTACCAACAATCATCAATCATATAATCTGACGTCATTAGATGAAAATCAAGCAATTTACTTCGACAGACTGTCGAACCTGCAATACATCAAGGATGAATGGCGTCTAGTTGTCTACTATAATATGACTACCTACTGGAAAGGCTTATCGGATATCAAAAGTTACGTCAATCATATCAAAACAATGTGCATCACTCATTCAAGTAAACAATATCAGAGTATCATTGTTCAACTAGAGCAGGAAATTAGTGAAATTGAACACTATGACATGTTACTTAAAAATACAAATGAAGCACCTATGAGATTAAGAAGAGGTCTTGTAAATGGAGTCGGTTATATCGCAAATTCTCTATTCGGTGTACTGGACGAAAGGTTTGCCGAAAAATACAAAAGCGACATCGAACAGATCAGTCACAACGAAAAACATCTTCAAAATCTTATCAAAAATCAAACCAGCATCATGGAATCCGAATTCAACATTTTACGCCGTAATGAAAACGTCATGAATAAACAATTCTCCTTTATCAATCAACGGCTTCAAGATTTAGCGCGTGAAGTATATGAAGTACGTTTGGTTAATCAAGACAATAACTATATCACGTCATCATCTTTAGCTGCATCAATCATTCTATCAAACCTTCGATGGATCCAGCAGACTTTGATTGGGACTGTAACGGATATTTCTCATGGACGTATCGACAGCCATTTACTATCTCCCGAACAGCTATCGTATCAGCTGAGCATCATCTCTAGTCAGCTAAATGGTAAACTTACTATACCAGTAGATATCAAAAACATCAAGGACTTGTATCGATTACTCAAGGTTTCAGCTAGGGTTATCTCAAATTACTTAATCATAGAAATCAAAATTCCGCTTTTAAGCAACGAAATGTTCGAGTTAAACAAAATCATCTCTATCTCTCAGAAACAAGGACAACACTACTATCAATTTCTTACATCAGTATCATTTATTGCGTACAATCTGCACAAGGATACAGCTTTTCTTCTATCAGAAGAAGATCTAAAGTCGTGCACTCATATTCCTAGCGATATATTATTGTGCTCATTAAACATGCCCATTTACGATCTAAAAATGAAGCAATCCATCTGTGACATTAAAATAATTAATCATGCTCACTTATGTAAGTCTGTAAAATCGTCGTGCGAAGAGCGGTGGATCAAGTTGCACAGGCCAAACACCTGGTTGTACACATGTTGTCCGGAATGCCAGGTTCGCATTATTTGCGCGAACGGAGTGACAATGACCCATCTTATAAACAATGGCATCTCTAGGTCAGGGCTGCACATTGAAAGGGGATACCTTTAGTATTTATGCTCATAATAACTTTTTCAGTAATTTGAATATTCATCATCATATCGAAGTCCCAGAGGTGTCTATGCTTAATCGAATTATGAAAACATCAATACCCGACAATATTAGTATGGTCGAGGATCATCAGGTTATTTGGGATCAGTTAAGGGCTCAGATTGACGAGGTTAAGGAACAGTCATCAACAGATCTGAGCATTCATGATGTTCACCATTACACTGTGCTATACATCAGTGTAGCCGCGGTGATCATACTGGGTGGCGTCGTCGTGTACCTCATCAGGAGTCGTCGAGCTGCGGCTAGGGCAGCAGCGTCGCCGGCCCCCCAGGGCCAGGAGGCTGCTGGGGCGGGGCCGGCGACAGTCGCGCCGGTGGATCCGGCGCCAGTGGCGTCACATCAAGCGCGATCAGTGCTTAAGTGCAGTGAAGTGTTCACGGTCAGTGGTGTAGATAAGGCTACTTCGCCAGAATCTATGTGATCAGTGCGCTCCGTGACTAAATTGGTTAGGTCCTACGTTTTAGTGTATATTTTATTTTACATTACATTATAGCACCTAAGACTATCTTTGATTCATCACCTTGTTATCATCCATCATCCTTTTATACAATTTAATTTTGATCACATTATCTATCTTCTTTGTCCTTTCAATCTTTTTCATCTCAATCGTGTTTTATCTATCTCTTTTGAGTGGGCAGGATGTACGGAACCGTACATTATTTTAACTACTCACGCCCGTGCGTTCTGCACACTCAGGTTTTGTGTATATTGCAAACAATGCAAAATGTAATTTGTGTCTTTTATAACGAATTATAAATCAATGTTAATCTAGCATTCAAATCGGGTGGTATTATTTCTATATCCTTATAGGATTAACCCCTCATCATATCGTATCATCAAAGGTGTAGGAATCTTCTACAATGTCCATGGTTCTTGCCGTCGGCCTCCTAACAAAGTTATCTGAGTAATGTTCGTTGTTTGCTTAGTACTTATTGTTACGATTTGTGCAGCGGAGCTGGGCGACTACGACCCGAGGCGACACGGGCTCGGCTACGTGTCTGAGTTCCGCTTGTTGGCGCACCAGACTCCGGAGCTCGAGGCGCGCGCCGCTGAAATACACCGCACACTCACGTAAGTCTCTTACCACTGCTAATTAGCTGAACATGTATTACCAGTAATTTATGCATCGCTATAATCAATGAATTCTTGTTTACGTGCACCTACGAGATAGAAGATTTGTTATCTTCTATCTCAGAAAATCGTAAACTCAACCGTACCTATAGATAGTTGTGTTATTTATACATATCGCATCTTCTCTAAGAATAGACGCAGATTAATTAAGAACTCATGCAGCCGACGCGAGGAAGTCCTTCCTGTTATACGTATTATTGTCTTAATTAACTAAGAAGAAGGCAAGTTGCTAAAAATTAAGATTTCAGAGGCGCAGTTTCACGCCGAAAGCGTCGTCGTCCGCCCGCCGGAAATTAAACATCGTCGCCTTTCTCGCCTAATTGAATGAATTTTTAACTGCGCAAAGATGCAGTCTGCGGCCAGGGCGCGTCACAAAGCCGCAATTACATGCAAATTATGTGTACCTACCTACTTAACACCAAGTGAGCCGTGGCTTAGGGCGGCGACACCGGCTCGCCACGCCACCCGCGCCGCCCGGATTATTCATTGTTGCTTAGCCATTTGTGGCCTTTTGTCCTTAATGCCTCCTATTAATTAAGGATAACAGTTTAATTGACTTTTAACTCTCTTTTCTTTTGATGAAATATTAATAACGGGCCTCTTTACAGGGGAATTTCACCGGCGCAAGCAGAATTGAGCTACTTGGATAAAGTGAAATGGCTCGACATGTATGGTGTAGATCTACATCCAGTTTTGGTAAATACGTAACTTTTACATGTTGAACATGTTGTTTGTTTTATCAAAGTTTATTATTAATACATTGTTTTGTTTTGTGTGACAGGGTGAAGACAGTGTCGAGTATTTCCTCGGGCTGGCGCCAAGCGGTCTTTTACTGTTACGCGGAAAACACACAGTTGCGAACTATTATTGGCCGCGCGTCTCCAAACTTTATTACAAGGGACGCTACTTCATGCTCCGCGTAGCAGATAAGAATGTAAGAACTACCTTTGACAAAAAATAACAAAGAATGTGAGTTAGACGAATAAGTAAACATTAAAATCGGGCGTTCCACTTGACCCATTTCTCGTTTCGGATCGCTGGGAGTGATAACGGGCGCACTTTGAATAGTGGTGCAAGATAGAGTCCACCTTGCCTCGCTTCCTTGAAAGACATTCGTAGGCAGGCAATTACAGATAAGTCGCGTAGAACTGAGCGCAGTATTTACAGCGCTGTGGGCACGGCGATAACGCGCGGCGCGGCGCGACTCGGTGCGGCGCGGGACTTCTTCAGCCACTGATTTACAGCCACACAAGCCCGCACCGCCCGACTTACTTCTTACTTATCCTTTAACATGATACCTTGTATTGTTTATTTAACAGACCAGTAAAAATAGGCCATAAAATAACCCCACTCGACAATGGAAAGAAATATTGATAGTGATATATTAAGATAGTATCTAAATGCATATAAAAATACATCTACCGATATCTGAACAAAATAATAACAGTACTTTGTGATGATTTTCAACCAAAATGAAATAAGTTTAGTAATAAAAGCTACCTCTATCAAACTCTGCAGATGTTTACATTACCCTCGCTTGAACGGTTAGTTAAAGGTATTAGAATTCATAATAAATGTTTAATATCGATACCTATTAACGTATCGATTGGAACAAATCTGATATTTTGTAAGCAAAGGTACGGGTATCGTGTAAGAAAAAACATGAAATACACATGTAGAAAACGGAAAATGGTGAATAATTCATTTACAGTATTGATTGTATTTATAGGCGGATTAATATAAATTAAATTAATTGAATTCCAAACAACTATCCGAAATCATTCGTATTGCAAGCAATATAAAGTATTAGTCACATTAGACTTAACAACTCAACTAGTACCCAACAAGCTAAATAATGTTAGCTTATTAACTTAATTATGAAATAAATTATATTCTTCTATACAGAATCATGAACCTTTAACACTTTTATTAGGAAAAAATACTGCCAAACTTCAGACAAGACTTAAAAAATAACAATAACTTCGTATACCTATAATGTAATTTTTTACTGACGACTGCCTTCTCGTCGTCGTAAAGAAATTTACGAAAATCATAAAAGATATCTTGAACATGAAAGAAGGTGATAAGCTCTGCACTTTATGGCTTGTTAAATAAAATCTAGACATAATCTGGCTTATCTTGAACAAGGGTAAGGGCACAAAGAAATATATATTGCCTACATTACGTTATAGAAATCCAGTCTGACCTTCGTTTACCGAAATTGGCCGGAATCTGTTCAGGATCTTAGGAATGTTGTGAAAATATGCTTATATACTATATTGCTATATTTTGAATAAAAAAGGCAGTAAAATGTTTAGACAAGACAAGTTTTATTAACTAAAATTCGCGGGTTACTCACGTGTAAATGTTGAGAAAAGCTCTACTAGTTTCGAACAACAGAGGGGTTCTTCCTCATGAGCAGCGTGCGCGGACGCGGCGACGTCGCGCAGCCTACAGCCTACTGAGTAGGCTGCGCGACGTCGTCGTCACGACGACTACTCAGTAGGCTGCGCGACGTCGCCGCGTCCGCGCACGCTGCTCATGAGGAAGAACCCCTCTGTTGTTCGAAACTAGTAGAGCTTTTCTCAACATTTACACGTGAGTAACCCGCGAATTTTAGTTAATTTAGTATGTCTCACGATAGTTATTATAAAAACAAGACAAGTTTTTTTGTGTAAAAATCACGTCTGTTTTGTTTCGAAGTAGATAGGGTCTTCTACGGTAATTTTAGCAGTTTTAGTACTATTTTTATGTCGGTTTTCGAGTAGTAGGTCCGTAGGCTGGACCCTTGCTTCATTTTTCCTTCTTTTCGATGATTTGTTTACACGTGAAATACATTTTACGACAGTTCCGTAATAAATTTAGGGCACTATGTCTAAACCAATTTCGGTTGAAAGTGGTATGGTAGTCAATAACTAATTAGTTTGTTGCGTTCCTCCTTTTTGATTAAATACTGTTTGCCTATAACTTAATCTTCTGAATCATCAAGTATAATATTATTTATCAATTTTAAAACATCGTTTTTAACGCAGAATGACACATCGACCTACGGCTTCGAGTCCCCGACGAGGTCGGCCTGCCGTCACCTCTGGCGTTGCTGTTCAGATCACCACACCTTCTTCCGAATGCAGCAGACATCACCAGCCTCAGCCGATATCTTCTCATTAGGAACGAGACTGAGAACTAGGTAAACTAAACAAAAAAGATCTTTTTTTCTTTACCTTTCAAATTGCCAAAGTAATTTATTTGTTGTCTAACTGTTCATACTAATGTAAAACTTGGGCGATTCTTCTAGATTTTTGATGTTTAATTTTGAGACAGTTTTTTTCTTATGTTGTTTCTGAAGTGTAGGTATTGTACCAATGCCTTTATTCTAGTTACGCTCGCGGTTCACTTCTGGGATAGCTTTAAAATAATGTTTTTTTAAATAATAATATTTAATCTTTTGAAATAGTTTCTCTGTATGGATTTAACATAACGTTTATATTAAAAAAGCGTTTTCTTTTAAGTAGGTATATTATTTCCGTAGTAAATTATTATCGAACGTTGTCGCTAAAATGAATGTAATATTATTGAACTGTTGTATCAATGAAAGAAACGAAAGGTGAAAGCTAGCGTGAGAATATTGTATTGAAATGAGAATACTTATTGTTTATGGAAATAATTTCGAGGTAAATTCGAATTTATGGTTGAGAAAATTAAAAATTCGATTACTTACTATTTAGGTATCAGAGGAAGGAAACGGACTTAATTTTGATGCAATTGTATTATTATTCCCATTGCAATCGGAAAGAGGTCCATGACCAATATAATCAAACACATAACACTTAATTCTATTAACATATAAGTTTGAAAAGCTGTCTTTGGCTGCCTGCAAATCAAATCTGATAATTTACGCAACAGAGACCAAATTTCGCCACCCTGCATACAACACCAAAGGTCCTTCATGTACTTCACGTACACTGTCTGGTTCTTAGTGGAACATCCAATAAGCAACTATACTTACACGTGTGTCGATCTGAAGGGCGCAGAGAGTAAAATTATCTAAGATCGGAAAAGGAGAATCCTCCGAAGAGGCGAGGTGATGAGGCGATCAGCCTGGAAAACTTCACTTGCGTGATGTAGAATTTGTAACGCCATCTGTTGTTCATTGTTTTCAATCTGTGTGTGTTGCCATACTTTTAGTTTGACAGCAGTTTATACAAACTCTGTTATTGAAGCTCCGTTTCTTGTCACGTAGACAGCCTGTGAGAATCATTGATCCATGTAACGAACAAGGGATGGTACCTAATGTATTGTATTACGGCTTCACCATAAACCGCGAAAAATTTGCCCTATCCTGCTTATTTACGAATTTGTACTAACAATGTATTTATTTATTTATTTAGTGGCAGAGGATCAAGACCCCGACCTCCTCCCGCGTTCACACGGACCCCGTCCCGCCGTATAGCGCGACCGCAACACGCTTCGCACGCATCGCTTAATGACGGTATTCATATTAATTGTACCACTTATTACATCGATTTTAACTTTATTTTTTGATATGTTGACAATGACTATTATTGTTACCTTAGTGTCTTTTTATCAGCACCTATTTACGTTGTTCAAAAAATAGTAGGTTACTACAAATTTGCAATCAAAAAACTTTTAAATGAACCTAATTCGAACAATAATTATTTTGACTTAAGTTTCTTACCTGTAACTTGTGCTTAAACGACATTTACTTTCAGTGCCAAAATTAGAAGACTTGAGAATAAAAGACTGTCCCCCAGAAATCAAACAACCTACCTCAGTACATCGGCCAAACTCGTAAGTACATTAGCTAACTTCACTAAATTAATTATAGTTGTGTCCACAACAGTGTGGGCCCTCTACGCAAAAAGGTTTTTGGCAATCTTTTTTCTGGAAGATTTTTAGTTAAGTACACCCACGTACCAACTTATTTTCTTAGGATTCTTATATATTTGCAATAATGTATGGCTACCTAAGAAAATACGAGCATATTATATTTTTATTTCATGTTGTTGTTAATTTACTCATATCAAAATCTCAATAATTCTCAACTTCTCTTCTCGATCTGTCGGGGAAGACCCCGACATCAGTTTGCATACATTTGATTTGACTATTATACCAAAGAAGTAAATATGGCAATAGCAGTTTTAAACTCGTGTTTTGTACATCAGGCTTCGAATAAGTGGCGAAGTATTGGGTGTCGAAGTTCCCGCGGTGGGAGGATCTCCAAGATCCACTCGGTCTGCGCCGACCCGACGTGGCCTCTACTCAGCCTCGCCTACTGCCACCAGACCACCACCTGCTCCAAGACATCGATCAGCATCAGTAGACTCACAGAGTTCCAACGATTCACGTTCTAATCGCAAGTAAGTTATTCTGCAACTCAATTATTAAAACGATTGACAAGAGGTAGATTGTTAAAAATGAAAAATTTAAAAAAGCATCATTTATCTTTGGTAGCCTAGACCTTAATCAAAACCCAGAATTATTTAAACGACCCTGTCAGATCTAGGCTGAGAGAAATTTCCTTTTTAATCAAAAAACCGTTTTATTTATATTCATAAAACGCAAACTTTACTTAGGCAGGATACTTACCTTCTTATTTTAAGCCAGAAATAATAAATGTTATTTTAAAACAAAACGAAATTCGAGAATCATTATAATTTTAATCATGTTCGAGACTTTTTATCGGCGTTTTATAATAGACAGGGAAATTTTAGTAGAGCAGGATCGAATCTATCAGCGATTTTAAACATCGAAGAAAAAATCCCAGTTAGTTACCTCTATATCGTCACTAGGGGTAACTCTCTTGAGCCCCCTCCCCTCTCTCGCATTATATAAGTACCTTCACCGGGTGAGAGGGTGTACCACCCGCATACTCCTTTATATGTCTTGAAGCTGTAATCACTAGTTTTATGTTTATTAGATCATAATGTTTCCTCAACAAAGCGCCGCTCCTCGAAGCACGTAGGACCCGTTGCTTTCTTACGACTTTGTTACCGCTTGCAAAGTTTTGCGCGGTGAATAATGGTGGCCTCTCTTTAACTTTCCAACTAAAATTCAAAATCCATTATTATCACGCGGCAACTTTTGTCAGTCTTCATTTTTTTACGTCAATGTTCGTTGCCTAAAGTTTTCTTGATAGGTACATGTTACGAAGAAGACACTTCTGCAGATTGGGTTACGAAATGCGATTATTAAAAACTTTGAAGGTTGAGCTACCTTTTATTGATCAATGTACCGATTTTATGTTTGTGAGAGATATTTGTTGCATCTTTTCTAAATATAAAGAGGTACTTACACAGTTGAAATTGGTCAAAACAATCCTTTACGCTAATAGCTTAGTATATTTGTTTGTGTGTAGACATAAACATCGTTCACGAAGACAGCAGTCTGATGCCGAAAGCGAACTGTCTCGAGGCTCAGGACGGTCGGGACGACGGCACCGACGCCATCGGTCCAGACATAAGCACGAGTCCGGCTCCGAGAGGGATGACTCACAACCAGATACCAAGTTAGTTATTCATTAAATTCATCAACAGTGTCTATATATTTGTAAAAACTTAAATTTTGATGCAAGAAACATGTTAATATCACAAAGTCAGACATAAACATAAGTTTGAATTTACAGAGAATACGAACTGGTCGATTCAGAATCGCAATGGAAGGAAGTTTTGCGACAAACCACTGTCGGTAGCGGAGTTCAAGTAAGTTTGGAAGATTAGTCAAAGTATGTTCCGTAGTAACTGAAGACGTTGATGTTAAATAAAATATGTTTGTAGGTGGCAAACGTACGTCGCTCGCAAATGGAGCCAGAGACTGGGACACATCGATCATCTCACAGACACCGACGACATAGAAAACATCGGTATAATTACTACCATTGTTATCTAATTATTCCACCTCATCATTTACCATCTGAGCTAATTCTCACAATTCATTCTCATTAGGTCTCGGTCGGGCTCCCCCAATGACAAGAAATGGTTGCCAAGTGAATTGAAACAGCACTTGGAGTTCTCATTAGTAGACACGACTGGTATGACCGAGGAACAACTAAAGGAAATACCATACACAGTAGTTCAGACCAGCCACGCGCGGCAAACTAAACTCCGAACCTCTTCAAAGCATCGACAGTAAGAATTTTTATTTCGTCTCTTGTTATAACAATTTTGAAACGACTTTTTAGAACTCCATTTAACGATATTTTTTCTCTTGTAGAGCTGAACACGGATCATTAGCAAGACGAGATAAAAGCTCGTCATCTCACGGCAAAAATATCCATGATAGTCATAATCAAGGATCCCTTCGATCTAGCTCCAGCACACTCAGCACGCATCGAACCAGCCACGAGAAACATGGAAGGTACGCGCCGCATCCCGTAAACTGTGATTTATTGTGGAAATATGGATGATTTACGTTATGGGTTTTTGCAGACGTGTTTATCCGAGCTACGATGAACCCGTTGGGAGGACGGGCGATGATTTCTTGACAAATAACGGGTACAAAGGCAATGTGACGCCGATCTCGAACAACAACAACCCTTACAGCCCCGTTACCAACAGCAACAGTAACAGCTCAAGCGGTGAACTGATTGGCAGTGCGCGCGTCTCACACGAACACACCGACTCGGGGCTCGGAGCAGATCAGGATTACGCGTACTCCTCGGAGAGGTGATTATGATAATACAACTTTTGGATACACCTATCTGACTTATTCGGTCACTTAATATTATGTGGATAAAATTGAACATCAGTGGTAACTGAAAGGTTTGAAACTTTGAGAAATCAATGACACGTGGCGAGTCACCCTGTTCTATTACTTCGGCAGCCGGCGATTGGAAACTGATGTAAGGCCCATGTCTCTCGGGTGCAGGTCGAGTGATAGTGCCAAGTGCGGAGCTGGAGGATCTTCACGGACGGCGCCTGTGAGTAGGCAGTGGGCGATGGGCGAGTGTGGTTTGCGGGAGGCGCGGGGCGCGGGCGGTGGTGGCGGTGGTGCGGTCACTCGACGGCCTCCGGCGGCTCCAGGGCGCGCGCGCGCCTCCGTGTCTGGGTCGCAGCGCTCGCTGCTGTCGGTGGCCAGCGACTCGGCCACCGCGCGCCGCCCCCGCGACCTCGCGCCGCGCTACCCTCACCCGGCCGACGGGGGCTTTTCTCTCTTCGTGAGTGGGCGCTTTGCTTTCTAACATGTCTTCCGCTCACCGACGGCTCTTGTCTCGATCAATTCAAAACAAAGCTCAACTCTCAAATATTCGGAAAAGTTTGTATAAAGCTCCTGTAAACGTAATATGCTCTGAAAATATGTAACTATTAATTTTTCCCCATAAGCGTATAATAAAAAAATCTTCCATCACAAATTCACAAGGGCCGTCGGAAATATCTGCAGCTCCTGTTTCTGGGTCGCTGATAAAGCTAACAGTGTACAGGTTGCTGTAAAACGAGAATATTTTACACGATCTAAAATAATTATGTACAATTTTTAGGATTACTGAAATGAAAATATAAACCATTCAACATAGGCGTAGAATAGAAGAGACTTGCGTAGGATAGCCTAATTTCACTGACGAACTTTTATTGTAGATTTATTTTACTTGTATTTATTTTCTTATATTTCAAAGATATTCTCAAGATTTCTTCTTGCTTAAGGGGCTTATAATCTTACAGAGTGCTACAGTTGTTCGTTATTATTGTTTGTATAGTTCAATGAAAAATCGAATTGCACTACTTTGGCACTGTGTACGCGCCTATACTTGGGACCTTGATATCGTATATATCCACTGTTTAATCCATGTATAAAGCTATAGGGTGTGCACAGGTAGTTTGTCTAGCGTGTATGATTATTGGGATGCAGAGACATGCTAGCAACAACAACATATTGGTGGGCGAGAGCGGGTCGCTGGCTCGGCGGTACGCGCGGCCGACGCGGGAGTCGCGCGACCACAACGCGAACGTGGCGCGCACGCACTCGCGCCTCGCGCACCACCGACACGACAACACCCTCGACATTATCCTTAAACCTCTCATAGAAAGCACGCAGTAAGTAAGGCACGCACCGACGATCCACCATGTTTGTGTCGCAACACCTAGCGGAATGAGTAGCTGCACGTACCCCTTGGTTTGTTCGTTGTTTTGTTTGTTTTGTTTTGTCTTTGCATGCTGGTGACGGGTTAGTGGTGTGCTCGTGTTACTGTAGACTAACCCCTAACTAACCTAACACTAACTGTCAATGTTTCGTGTCACTACAGCCGATTGTTTTACAATTTGTGTTACTTTTATGTTGCACCTTGTTGTGATTAAAATGTTGGTAACCGCATTTGTTGCGAATGAATATATCTACAGGATGTTTGTTAATCCAAAAATATTTACAATTCGAGCATAAACAGCGGACGTGCAGTCCCCGACACAGTTATGGAAGCACGTCGTTGACAATTTTCTTTTTGACAAAATTTAAATGAAATGCTAAGAAAAACTCATATGTGGATTGTGTATGAAACCAGGCAGCAGAGCAACTGAGTACGGCAAACGAAGCGACATCTGGTGTCAGTAGCGGAGGTGACACATCTGGCAACGGGAACAAGCCCGCCGGAGCTGCTGAAATGAGCACAGAGCTATAACAGATACAAACTTTACATGGATTATATTAGTACATAAAATATTAGGCCACCATATTTTTTTTAATTGATCCAAATCTACGTGTACTTTCCTTATCTTTCTTTTAAATATTAAAATGTTCTTTTGAAAAACAGTTATAACAATCGTCAGTAAGTGGCCTAATTAAATCGTACGCAATATAATTATAGTTCTATTCGTTTCAATGCTAAGAGGCTGTTACTCATTTTCATCTTTCTAAGATCAATAATACTCACGGTAATATTAATTTATTATCCTGATGTGTTATGTTCATGTTATGTGGGTTTTTTAGAAACTCAAACTTTAGGCTATAGTTCAACAGTATTTTTATAAAACCTTTTCTAATAATGACATAGGTTAATAATCAATATTTTTGAGTCAATCAAAGATTCATACTGTATATTCAAATAGTCTCATTTTAGTCGAATATTTTTCTGAAATATGAATAAAATTGTAGTTACAATTAATAGGCACTAAAGATAATAATGTAGAAAAATTGGAACTTTTTATTTTTTCCGTTACTTTATTTCATATTTTATTATTTGAAATGTAAATACATTTTTTGTAAATAAACCTTTAAATTGTGTCTCCGTAATATTTCATTGTAAAAGAAGAAGAAGAAGAAGAAAGTATCTTGTGCCAAAGATTTTGTGAAGAAAAATCAGTTACGGAAAATTGTTTATATTTCTTTGTGAATAAGGAAACAATTTATCACCAAGTTTACCATTTCACATAGATACCAACTTTGAAACGTTTGTGTGAGTTTATAACTTCGTTGTTACTTCCCATTTTACAGAAAAACATGTCGAAAATATACCAACATTAAGAAAATCTTAACTATATCGGATGTTTATTTATTCACGGGTATTAATTAATGTTTTTTTACCATTTTCATAAATGTAAGAGATCGACGTACACAAAATCTTGTACAGTTGTTATGTAGCTTAGTATTAACAAAGTAATTTAGTCTCTAGTTGCTAAAGTAACTGTCTATTGAAAACAGAATACAATAAACACAAGTTTAAGGTCCAAAGTACAATGTCTCATTGTCATAAAATCTATAGAAATGAGCAAAGGAACTGAGTAAAGTATGATATTACAAAATTTGCGGATTTTTATGTTTAAAGTTTTAAAACCATTCTGCCGAAGCAAGTTACTTTTAACTTTTTGCTATGTCGCATGTAGTAGAGCTGACATTACCACGCGACTGCAATGGGTTGCCACTTAAGGGCGCGTATGGGAATGTAAGGGAAGGGTTGCAAGGATCGTATGTATACCTTACAACTAAAAGTACACTTAACGCGCCCTATAAAAAGATTCATTCAATGAAAAGAAACAGTTACACCATTATATTAAAATTTCTCCTCCACTGTAAATATTCCTAGATAATTAAGATGTAAATAAATACAACATTACGCATCGAAATGCTCAGATTTCGAGACACCATTGTAGCCGCTATCTGCAGCCGATGCTCATGACATCTGCAGTACATGTGAACTCTCATAATATGTAAATGTTACTCCCGAACGATGCGATTAGTCGGTCAAATTGTGTATTGTCAAGACTGATAAGATTGCGACTGTATTGCTACTCACACAATTTTTGTAACCGATTATAACAGTTTGTATGTATTTTTTCAAAATCGTATCGATTGTTCGCATTAAACGATCTATATCATTTGGTCTGTTATTTCTTGTTCGACGCCTCTTAATGACTGCTATAGTATGCTGAGCCGTCTCTTTGTAACGTAAATCTATAAAATGACGTCATAAAGGCCGTTTATTAATCTACTTATTATTAATGAGCGCCATACAGAATCGCAAATGATTTATCGATTATCTGACAAAGAGTCTGGCTCTGGCATTAATTAAGCCGTTCTGTCTCAGATATCGGCTGCGTCCGACCGCCATTAACACTAATGAGGATGATTTGGTACCGTTGCCCGACGAGTGTTTTGGCTGTAAAAATGTATGTTAACCACTCAATAAACTAAATTGCGTAACTACAAATTATTTGACATTGCGGAAATCATGGACCTGCTACCTGCTGGTAAAATTACCTGATTTTGTTTATGTGGTATTTTGTATATAGGCTCTTGGCAATCGATAACAAGTATGTAGCTGTTAACATTTTACTGACCACAAACTGTGTAAGTATGTAACAAAATGGTCAATTAATTTTGGTCAACATTACGCAAACGTATTAAGTTACAAGTAATTAAAACCATTATGATTGGTTACTGTGTACTCAACCAACCTTCGTCAAACCTACAAAACTCATACTAGTGAAAGAGTCACGAGTTAGTTTTTCCGTCCCTAGTTCGGAAATAAAACTACGGGAAGTTCTATCAACGTACCTTCTGTTCCGTCGACGAGTAAAATTAAATATTGTGGAACACATTGGGTACGATCCCCGCGTCTAAAATCCGGCTAATTGAGCGAACGCGTCACTCGGGCCCAATTTGCCTGCATGAAAGCAAAAGACAAAATAAGTTGGCGCAGTCTATCAAAGCTCCGATGTCCACTATTCGGCGAAGGGTGAAAACTCATTACCCGTAATGAAAGGGTTCCCGGGGCGTGTATGATTACTTGTTAATTGGAAGGCGGAAAATCAGAGGGTGACCAGATAAAGTTACCTTATTCATACCAAGTGTCTATTAACTATAAATCCACCTTAACTTTAGCTTTTTGATAAACGATTTCTTCATCTTTAGTATAAATATTTGATTTCTTCTCACGTTCAACAATATTTTATACAAATTGTTCTCTGCTAAATAAAAAAATAAATATTATCTCGACAATATTCCGTTCAAAAATAATTCCATGAAGAAAATTTTAATATTTTTAATAAAATGTAAACTAATACAATGAAACAAGAGATAAAAATCTTTATGAAGTGGAAACGCAGAGGCAGTAAAATTGAAATAGTGGGCAACATTTAAATTCTTAATAATGTGTTAATGGCTCCGTCAAGTTTTCATAATAAAAACGAAATGAACGAAGGATTTTGTAAGATACAAAGTTTACTTGAAATTGTAACTAAGTGCACTTTGTTAAAAGAACGCAATCCGTTCATTTGTGACGGATACAAAACTACCTATGTACTATCAGGATAGTACAAAACATAACTAATTAAATACCTTACTAATCTTTAAATATTGACTTCGTTTATCAAGTGAACTTATCGACTATTAAAATATATAGCATCTAAAATTAATAATTTGGATTTTTGAAAAATTGTTTTAAGTTTTAACAGCGAAGAGTTAAGGCAAATAAATGCTAAGTAAGTATACCTTAATTTTCTTTAAGCAATAAATAACATAATTTAGTATTATGTTGTTGTGATTACTTTTGTTTTCGCTAGGTAGGTATATATAAATAAAATATTTACATAAATACGCAATAGTCGAGGTAGTCTAATCATGCTGAGTGGTTGTCGCCATATATTAAGTTCAGAGAGAGGGTTCACCGGCCATTCAAAGCGTGGAAGCCTGGAGCCAGGATTTCGACGTAAGCCCTGAACAGTGAACGTGTTATTGCAACGTTAATGTTTGTTCTGGCATTCTGGTATCTAAGGCAAACACGCATCTTATACATGATATTATAAATGTTTATCGAATTAAATAAATAAAAGACTAATTCAACTTTAATATTTTAGAATATTAATGAAAAAAAAAATAGTATGTATAATAAATACGTACGTAGCACCTATATTACATAACAGAATAATTAAAAAAAAATGGTATATTAACTAAACTACTTCATACAACGTCTTCCTTTTTTCTAATTATTAGCTTGCTGTGTCCATCAGGGTCCATTATTGCTATTATTTTATATTGTCTTTTCCACCTTATGCAGGTACATGATGGAAAGCAATAATGGCTGGCAATGGCTAAAGATCAGTGTTTGATATTAGTTTGACAGAAGTTATGAAATTTTTACACATGTATGCATTAGGTCAAATGCGGCTTCTTCGGTGTAAGTAATGGTCACAACATGGCGACCAAAATGTA